TTTAATTTACATATTTCTAAATTGAATTTAATGATCTTATAGGACTAATGATGATTAGTTGGTAATGGAGTGATGGGAGTTATATTTTACATTGGTGTGATCTGTCAATTTATAAAGAAAGGAGAAACAAAAAAGAAAACCCACATGATATGGATATATATTATGTTTTTATTAGTTGTCATTGTCAATATCTCTTGTTGTCATACTCCAAAAGTCCAAAAGTCAAGCACTCAAAAAGAAAAATAAAAACAAGCAAGAGTTCTTAGAAAATGGGGGAATTGAGTGTTTGAAAATAAAGACCACCTTATTAAATTGAATTCTATTACACCAAACGCTGTTAAAATCACGGTTTAGTCCCTTATTTCAAGAAAAATGCATTCCCTCTATTACAAGCTCAGAAATTAGTTTGAGCCTTTGAGGGTTTCATTTAGGACGGATATGATTAGTCGGCTTGCTGGATAAACTAAAGCGCAACAACAAAGTCTATCTATAAAAGTAAAACACAAGTTATTATTCAAACTTCTTTTCTTACCTATACTAATAATTTTTGTTTGAAATAACATCAACATGGATAAAACGCGAAACTTGCATTGTTCATCACCATACAACCACCATATTGTGATATGGAATAAGGCCATAAAAGTAAAATTAGAGATCGAAGGTCGATGCATTATAAGTTATAACCCAAATCAAACAAATGCCTTCAATAACGTTAGGACCACAAGGTGATGCCAAAGGAGGGTAGAAAACCCGAAAACGGTTGGATGCGTAACTACGAGCATCTAATTAGCTCACATGAAGAAGAAATGTTTGACATGGGAACATCTGTAAGATAAAGATTCACAATCTAATATAATAGTTAATCTGACTCAGACGCCTAACAAGGTAATCAGGTTGATTGTTGCGTTTAAACAAATGTTGGACATCACATATATGCTTCAACTAACCGTTAACTACGATAAATATATCTTGAATACTGATTCACTCATAAAATTTATGATAACATGTCTACACTCGATTTTCTGACTGCAAATCACTGCTCTTTCTTACTTAACATTCATAGGATTTCCTTGAATGACCACGCCAGTAGGGAATTCCATCATCCTAGGTCAATGTTATGCCCTTCACTCTTTTGGGTAGAAGAATGCTAGATGTGTGAATGTTGAATGATAGTTTCACTCATTTCTTTCTGGCTTAGGTTGAACCACACCAACTAATGATCCCATCAAATTCAGATTAGAATCAATTTTACTGTCACTACAAATTTTCTGTTTCTAGAATCCTGACAATACAGTACATCATTATTAGAGAGATAAAATCCAAGACCTCAAAGGCAACCAATCCAACCATATTGTTTAATTACTTGAAGCAAAAAAAAAAAAAAGAACTCCAAGTTTTCCACCCCACACTATATATAAAATGCCACTCTCAACCTCCAAATTTTTATTTCCTTTCATCAAAACCCCCCACTCCGCCAGCCCAGCCATGGCCAATAAGCATTACTCTGTTCCTTCTTTTCTTCTCACCAACTACTTCTTCCTCTTCCTTCTTTCATCTTCACCGTCGTCAGCTTTCCCTCTCTCCACCAGCTCCCGATGGATCGTCGACGACGCGGCCGGCGGCCGGCGAGTGAAGCTGGCGTGCGTGAATTTGGTCTCCCACTTGGAACCCATGGTGGCAGAGGGGCTCAGCAAACTGCCCATCGAAACGATCGCCGAGAAAATTGGTTCCATGGGGTTCAATTGCGTCCGCCTCACTTGGCCGATATATTTGGTCACCGACGAAAGTTTGAGTTCGCTCACCGTCCGGCAGTCTTTCCAGCGGCTCGGGCTGATCGATACCGCCGCCGGGATTCAGGCCAATAATCCTGACATCGTTGACCTTCCCCTTCTCCAGGCTTTCCAGGTAAAACAAACTATAAAAAGTTAACTATTTACTGTTCACCTTTAAGTTTAACTGTTTGACCGAAAAAGTTACTATTGTGTCTTGCCCAATTGCAAAAAGTAGTTCCAACTCCAACAATAAGAAGCTATCTATAAGGTAGAAATGTGTACTTTTCCTTTTAACTCATTTACTAGGAGAGTAATTAGGTGGTTAATTAGAAAACAACCACTCGATTCGTTTCGTCGTAAGCAGACGAGTTAGTGAACTAGGAATTTTAACATAATTGTCGTAAACTTCGACGTAAATTAACGTAATAGTCACTTGATTAATTTTTGTTTGAGTAGGAACACAACATTTTAGTAACAAAAGAAATCACATTCGCCCTTTAAATTAGCTTTAGAGAGGTTCATGAAATCTAAACCAAACCCTAAACTCAACCCAATTCAAATTTTGCTCTGAGTTACATGCTAATCGGTATGGCTTTGCAAAAAAAAAAAAAACCCGTAATATATAGGAGACAGATGAATAATATAGAAAATGATTGTTACATTGGTCAATTCAAATCCCAATGATCGATTCACGAAACATTAAAGCAAACTGGTTTTCTAGTAACGGTAAAGGTCGAAATATGCTCTTTGTAATTGATCATATACCATTAGAGCAATGATTAGGTAGAAATGTTTGGCTTAAACAAAAAAAAACTTGATGGCAATATGCAAATTGTTATGATATCAGTTTTGTTGTTTGGTATCAATTTTAGAAAGAAGTCCTTTTTCTTCTTTAATTGACCGGTAGTTTGGTAAACATCATATTAGTTGAACCAACCTATCAACTCTGTAATTTTCAGCAAGTGGTCTCAACCCTCTGCGAAAACAACATCATGGTGATCCTCGACAACCACATCACCACACCGGGCTGGTGCTGCAGCAACGACGACGGCAACGGCTTCTTCAACGACCGATACTTCGACCCGAACCTCTGGCTCACTGGTCTAACCCGAATGGCCACACTGTTCAACGGCTCGACCGCAGTGGTTGGTATGAGCCTCAGGAACGAGCTCCGCGGCCCGAAACAGAATACCCAAGACTGGTACAAGTACATGCAGCAGGGAGCCGAAGCCGTCCACGCTGCGAACCCCAACGTCCTAGTCGTCGTCTCCGGCCTGAACTACGACAAGGACCTGTCGTTCCTCAGCAATCGGATGGTGAAGCTGTCGTTCGGCAAGAAGCTGGTTTTCGAGGCGCATTGGTATGGTTTCACTGATGGGCAGGCGTGGGCTGATGGAAATGCGAATGAAGTGTGTGGCAGAGTGAGTGGTAACATGAAGAGGATGTCAGGGTTCTTGCTGGAGGCAGGGTATCCTCTGTTTTTTAGTGAGTTTGGGATTGATCAAGGTGGTGGGAATTTGAATGACAATCGGTACATTAATTGCTTTTTGGGGTATGTAGCTGAGTTTGATTTGGATTGGGCGTATTGGACGATTGTGGGGAGTTATTATCTGAGGCAAGGGGTTGCTGGGTGGAGTGAGAGTTATGGGTTGCTGGATCGGGATTGGGTCGAACCGAGGAATCGGAGTTTCATCGAGAGGATCTCAGCGGTTCAGATGCCCTTTCGAGGTAACCATATTCGTGAAACTGGTCTCTTCTGCCTGCGGATTAGCTGTTAGTGACCCACGTCAATCTGTGTGGTTCTTTACTTTCTTGTCGATTTCCCAATTCGTTCTGACGTCTGGTTTGATATCTGCAGGGCCAGGTTTGGTGGAAAGGAGGCAGCATCAAGTGATCTTCCATCCATCAACAGGGAAATGTGTGCAGAGGGGAAGGACATTTATGGACCCATTGAAGTTGGGACCTTGCCCTGAGTCTGATCCATGGAGCTACTCCAGGGGAACTCTGTCCCAAGTTGGGACATACTTCTGCTTAAAGGCTGATCAATTGGGGAAAGCAGTGCAGCTCGATCTCGACTGTTCGAACTGGCAGATGATATCCTATTCGAAGATGCACGTTTCGTCGAAACTGAAAGATGGGACCTCGGTTTGTATGGATGTGGATTCGGATGGCGAGATCGTCGCGAATCCTTGCAAGTGTTTGAGTAAGGATAAGAGCTGTGAGCCAGAGAGCCAGTGGTTCAAGTTGGTGAACAGCACCAGAGCTCCAACAACTGGGTCGAGAGGAGAAGACTCTTTCTTGTTCTTAGTAAGGGATTTGATATGGAAGTTCTTGGAATTGGGTCTGTTCCACATTGGGAGAATGTTTGTACAAGTTGTGTCAAGAATTGGCTGAAAAAGGTTTAAGGCATTGGGTTGTGTAAATCTGTTGTCTTTCTCTCAGATTCTTTTGTGGAAAGTTGCAGATGGTTGTAAATTGTAAGTGTTCCTGACCAAATCTCCCAAGGAATCATAGCAGCTACTGTTCTAAATAAACCATCTCCTTCCAAATTCTTCATCTCTTAAACAACCATCATGGTTTTCACCCTTACATCGATTACCAACAACCCTATTGATCTCGACAACAGCAATGCTTTCCATTTCAGGATTCCTGCTCAACAACCAGAAGAGTTGAGTGATCAATTTGTTAATGACCCCGAAATAAAAGGATCATTAATGTAATTGTCCAATAAAGCCTTTAAAGCTTCAAACCCTGTCTTATTCCTTTGGTGAACCTTAACTAACTTTTCTTTTCCTTTCCCAAAATGTTTATTATATTCCAAACCACTGAACCAGAAAGCAGAAATGGAGGAATATCCTACAGTGTTTACCTAAGAACTATCATCTGCAACAAGTTAGATTCCTTTACTACTTCTGGATTGCAGTGTTCCAAAAGCCTAGACTAGGATTTGATTCCAATTGTCACAGTAAAAGGTTGAAAAAAGAAAAACAAGAACCCTCTTATTCTTTCAGTGGTTAGCAAGTAACAAGAAGAAAACAAGATCAAGATCCCACCTTCAACACCCTTGTCCAAAACAGTACTGTGATGAGAAAGAAGCAGGCAATCACTTTCACCTGCACAACAGTTTCATTAGCTTCCACCCTCAGTGTTTCACAATCCCATTCCCATAAATGTTGCACCTTTAGCATAATCATCTGAAATTTCGTGGCATTTCCCTTTTGCCAAGCAATGAATTGGCATGGAAATAGTGCCCCTTCTTCTTCTTCTGCTACTGCTAATTCTTTTCCTTCATCCGAAGAGGACTTTCTGATAAAGCAGCTCCTCCTAGCACATGATCCTGATGGCCGTTGGCTAGACTCTGAGCTCCTGATTTCTGCAATGGAGAATGTCATGTCATCTTCTGCCTCTCATAGGTCAAATGTTGAAGAAGCTGTTCAGTGGAAGGATGAAGACAGCATTGCAATAGCTGGATCAGAAGAGACATTGGGGCAAATACTTTGGAAGATCTCAAGTGAGGCAAGAATCAAGAAGCCAAGTTTTGTCCTTTTCATGATTTGATCAACATTCTGACAAATCCTTCTCGTCATTATGCAAGGTATTCGTCGGTAAAGGGAACCAGCATGGTCGAACGATGGCCTTGTTTGATTTGCTAGGAAGCTACAGATGGGATGCCAAAGTGGCACTAGTGCTTGCATCATTTGCAGCAAGCTATGGCCAGTTCTGGCTCATAAACCAGCTTCACCACGATATCCCCTTGGCTTCATCGATCGCTATGGTTAAACAGTTGCCTCGGGAGCTTATCATGCTGAGACCTCGGTTCAAGGCTTTGAACTTGCTGTTGAAGACAATGGTGGATGTGACAAAGTGCATCATCAAGTTTGAAGGCCTTCCCCTTAGACATGTGAAGCTGGATGTTGAACCCATCGGAACTACAAAGCTTTCCATCTATGTAGCTGCTTACTGGGTTGTTAGAAGCAGTTTGTCTTGTTTCTCACTTGTTGCTGATCTCACTGCCATGAAGCCTGAGAAAGTGCATGTTTTCTCTTCCCTAAAACTGGTTACTGAACCAGACACTTGAGATTTGCTTGATAACTTGCTAATATATTTTTTAAACTGTTCAGGTACTCGAATGCAACTGCAGTTGCAGCATGGGAGATGTTGAGCATGGAATCAAGGCTGAGCAGAATCTTGCATCACCTCAGTGGGCCAGTGCATCTGTGTCATCGACGAATAGGTTTAAAACTCATTCCGGATTAAGAATCATGTTAGAAAGATCATAACTCGGTTTGAGCTTTCTAATCTGACCACATTTGGCAGAATTAAAGATGAGCCAGAAGTTGCCAACTCTTTTCTGGGAGGAGCACCATGACAATCAAGATGTACTTGAGATGCTCTTGGCTCTCAAAGATAACCTGCCGCTCAAGGAACCTTCGACAAAATCAAAGGTGAAACCATATATATAAACTCAAATGCTCATAAGAATAAAGGTCTCAAGATTTTTTTGGCTGCATTTCCTGTGCTGCTTTTTTCTTACAGTTAGGTGTGACTGAATTGAAAGACAAAGTGGTCATACTTCTGATCTCAAAGCCACAACTGTTGCCACTAGATGAACTACTTCTCCTTGTTCACCAGACCTATGGCCACTCTCACCACAAGGAATTTGAGGCAAAATACCGTGTGGTATGGGTTCCGGTCACAGAATCTGATCACTGGACTGAAACTGAAAAGGAGAGATTCAGCATACTGTCAAATTCATTGCCATGGTACTCACTGAACAGACCATGGGCACTCCATTCATCTGTAGTGAACTTCATCAGGCTAGCATGGCAGTCTAGAGCTGACCCAACAATGGTGGTACTCGATTCGAAAGGCGCCATGACCAATTTGAACGGTATGGATATGGTTCTAATCTGGGGCGCCAATGCATTTCCTTTCTCAGCTGTGAGAGAACAGGAGCTCTTGGCTGAGCAGAAGCAGTTGACACTTCAACTCCTGGTTGATGAAATTGACCCTTTGCTAGCTAAATGGGTAAGCTTTTCAGCCATATCTGGTTTTTATTTTTCAGTAAATATGGTTAATGTTAATTAGAATTCTCGAGTGGAGGAGTAGGAACACAATGTTTTAGAGGCATAGTTTGACTACATTCTACTACTTTCAGGTGGAAGAAGGAAGAAACATTTGCATCTACGGAAGTGAGAACCTGGATTGGATTAATGAGCTGAACACCAAAGCTAGAGAAATCATGAGTTGTGGAATTCAGCTTGAGATGGTATATGTTGGAAGCAGTAACATTATTAGTGAAAATGTGGGGAAGACATCAGACATCATCCACCAAACAATCCATAGAAACTTGTTGTCATCCACAAAAGTCCGATTCTTTTGGCTCCGGATCGAGAGCTTGAGAAGATCAAAGCTTCAGCAAGGTGGGAGGTTGAGAATTGATCACATTCTGCAAGATGTGTCAGCACTGCTGCAGCATCATGATGATGGCAACGACAAGGGAGGATGGATCGCTATAGGAAGTGGAACTGCAGAAGAGATTGTGAGGCTCGAAGGGAGAAAAGCGATTGAATTGCTGAGCAAGGTTCATGAATGGGGAGAAAATGTGGGGAAGAAAGGATTTTTAGGGGCAATTAGAGCTTCTGTTCAAGTCCCAAAACCTCTTCTTATTCTGCATCCTGCAGAACCTTGCAGTCATTCTGTCATGATCCCTTATGGCAAAGGCCAACAACAACAACCGAAAGGCAATATGTTATGCGAGAAGTGTAGGCGTGTGATGAAGCCATATGTTGTCTATAAATGAGTAATGTAACATCCCAGAATGTGCAAACTCTGGATCAGTTTGCTTCTGCTTTTTTATTTTTGCCTTCTGCGGAATCATTTGTTACACAAGGATTTATTTGTTACCTCTTTACTATCTGAATTAACTATTTACCTGAAATTGCATTCAGTTTGAGCTATGGACACTCATTACTAAAAAATCTTGCAAACTACACTATTTTGAAGACTTTTGCTTTTGGCCTGTGAAGCAGCTTTGTGCCTTATTCCCATGGCTTTCTTTTTCAGTTGCCTAGCTGTTGGTATCTCAAAAGAATAGTGAGCTTTTTCCTGTTTTGAGTTGCTTGGCTTCATGTCTTGGCTCCTTCAAGTTCTATCTTTTGGGCATGGATGGGGCCCTCCAAAGGGCTCAAAGATTTGCAACTTGTTAAAGCACTTCCCAAGAACAATGTAAAACACATTGGAAGCCTGATATAAAGGAACAAAATATCATACCTTGCAACTAAGCAAGGAAGCTTGTAAAGTTGAGAAATCAAATGATTACCCTTCTCAGCTTTTCACTTTAATGATGCAAGCAAACATATGTCACAATATAAAGATCTAACCTTTGGATTAGGATAAGAGTTTAAGGTTATGGGTCGGAACGGGTGACTATCGTTTCGATTTGCTTCGACCTTATAATTGCACCATCGTCAAGCATGCAGATTAGCTGGTAAGATATTCGTCTCACCCAACTCGAGTCGAGTTGACAGTTTCAATTTTCCATTCAATTCATGTCGATAGTTTCAAATCCTCAAGAACGAATCCAGATTCGTCACACCCTACTCAAATCTGGATTCGCCGACGCTACTTTAATTACCATCAAACTTACAGTGCATTGAGCTGCATAATGTGAAGAAGTTTCAGCTATATAAAGAAGATCAAATTTTTCCAAAGGGGGTTGGGATTCCTAGGTCACTTGAGTTCTAAGTAAATTGGCTGAAGATGATTAGCACATCAAAAGCCAACATGTTTCACACAGTTAACAAAAGCATCTCAAATCAAAAGGGTTAATGACACACTGTATTCTCTAAACGGATAAGTCTTTCCTTAGCCAAACTTTACACCCTTAAAACCCTCCAACAGAAGCAAGGTATACCAAAAGATCAAATATTTAACTCTCCCCATTGATCAACAGAAACTATATATAAGGCTCTAAACATTGAGAACCAAATCCCACCACAGCTAAAACCCACAAAAGCAACTTAACTTCTCCGAATTCGGTGAGCTAGTTTCTCGATACCGACCAAGCGCAATGGCTGTCGTCCCACACAAGATGAGCAGGGGTGAGAGGCATATGTTTGCATCATCCGACGACGGTGCAATGATGAAGCAGATTCAGGCGACTCATTCCCCAGATGGCCGGGAATTCGCTGTCAAGCCTCTGCTTCACATTGCTGAAGATGTGTTTCAGAGGTCGCGTCCTGGTGTGCTCGCCATTGGTGGTGAGCCTACGGTACGGATTAAGAGCCATTTTCGCAATGTGTTCGATTCCATGATCATTCTGGTTTTTTTTGCTTGGTACCCAAGTTAGTGTAGTACTGTTGCTGACTTAATTTCCTGATTTCTTTGTAGGGAGCTCAGCAGGCACAACTAGATGCCTTGGAAGACAAGGTTCTGGAGAACGGGCTCCATGAAACCCTTGAAATTATGTCCTTCACCATCAACAAGATAGCCTGCGAGGTTCGTGAGACGGTTGATATTTGACTTCCTTCGCAAGAAATCCATGGCATTTTTCATTTGCTTAATTACATGAATAGTAACAAACTGGTCACTAAATTCGACTTTCTAATATAACTGTCATCAAACTTTGGATTAATTAGCAAAGTAGTCATCCAATTTATCCTAGTTAGAATTTTTCGCTTAAAATGTTCAAATTAACATGTCACCTTACCCCGAAATAATGATCGATTGGACCCTCCTAGCACAATTGATCGCATATCCTTTAATTTGACCATGTTAGCATTTTTGTAAATGGGCTAATTGTACAAAGAAATTTGGGGGATGAATAACGAAATCAGATCTCCTGCAAGTGCTCTGGAGGAGGAGATGCACATGCCACGACCATGTCCATCTTCAACATAGTCTCGAGCTACTCGTGGGATGCGAAAGTCGTGCTAGCCCTGGCCGCATTTGCAGTGAACTACGGCGAGTTCTGGCTCGTGTCCCAGCTGTACCTCACCAACCCACTGGCCAAAGCCGTGGCACTGCTCAAGCAACTGCCCGACATCCTCGAACGTGCCGACGCCTTGAAGACGAGGTTTGAGGCCCTGAGCAACTTGATCAGGGCCATGATGGAGGTGGCCAAGTGCATTGTGGAGTTCAAGGAGCTTCCATCGCAGTACATTAGCCACGACACGCCCGAGCTGCTGACTGCGACTGCTCACATCCCCACGGCCGTGTACTGGACTATTCGAAGCATCGTGGCTTGTGCAACACAGATCATTGGCCTCATTGGCATGGGGCATGAGTAAGTTTATAATGGTGTCTAACAATACCACATTTTAACTTTAGAAAATGGTATCTCAAAGTGTTCGTTTGTTCTTTAATTAGGTACATTGCTTCGACGACGGAGGCATGGGAGTTGTCTAGCATGGCTCATAAGGTCACCAACATCCACAGCCATCTCATGAAGCAGCTCACTGTTTGTTACCAACATATTGGTTCGTTGATTTGCTTACTCGAACACGATTTGATTGTGTAATAGACTAAGAGATCAATATTGATCGTTCGATTACCCTTGTTATGTCGATGCAGACGAGAAGAGGCACATCGAGGCATACCAAGCCTTAATCCGGCTTTTCGAGATAGTACACATCGACAACATGAAGATCCTTAGGGCGCTGATCTATGCCAAGGACGACCAGCTCCCACTCTTCGACGGCAACACCAAGAGAAGAGCAAGCCTGGACGTCCTGCGAAGGAAAAACGTCCTTCTCCTCATCTCCGACCTCGAACTCTCCCACGAGGAACTCTCGATGCTCGAGCAGATGTACCACGAGGCGCGCCAGCATCCCACGAGGCTGGAGAGCCAGTACGAGGTGGTGTGGATGCCGGTTGTGGACCGCTCAACGCCTTGGAACGAGGAGAAGCAGAAGGCATTCGAGCGGCTTCAGGGGATGATGCCGTGGTACTCTGTATACCACCCTTCGTTGATCGATCTCGCGGTGATCAGGTACACGAAAGAAGTCTGGCACTTCAACAAGAAGCCATTGTTGGTGGTGTTGGACCCTCAGGGGAAAGTTGTGAACCCAAATGCCCTCCACATGATGTGGATTTGGGGTAGCTTGGCTTTCCCCTTCACTAGTGCTAGAGAGGAAGCTCTGTGGAAGGAAGAGTCCTGGAGGCTCGAGCTTCTCGCCGATGCTATTGATCCTGTCATCCTCTCTTGGGTATGCAAAATCTCATTTCCTTCCATTTCAGTTCAGAAAAGGTTGCAAGTTAATCGGATTATTATTGATCAATGTAATGGTTGTTCGTGATTATAATTCGTGCGAATCATGAGTCAGTTTGCTTTCTGTACTACAGATAGCTCAGGGGAAATTCATATGCTTGTATGGAGGTGAGGACATGGACTGGATCAGGAAGTTCACCACAACAGCGCAAGCGGTGGCTCGAGCAGCAGGAATCACCATGGAAATGCTGTACGTCGGGAAGAGCAGCCCGAAAGAGAAAGTGAGGAAGAACAACGTCATGGTACAATCCGAGAGCCTGAGCCACGTGCTCCCGGACCTCACCCTCATCTGGTTCTTCTGGGTGAGGCTCGAGAGCATGTGGCACTCCAAGGTCCAGCACAACAGGACCGTGGAGAACGACGCGATCATGCAGGAGATCGTGACGATGCTGAGCTTCGACGGCAGCGAGCAAGGGTGGGCCGTGGTGAGCAGGGCATCGGCAGAGATGACCAAGGCGAAGGGGGAGACCATACTGAAGAGCTTCATGGAATTTGACGAGTGGAAGGAACTTGCTCAGGAGAAAGGGTTTGTTCCCGCGCTGAATGATTACCTGCTTGGCTTGCATACTCCACACCATTGCAACCGTTTGATCCTGCCTGGAAGCACTGGGAGTATCCCTGATAGGGTTGTCTGTGCTGAGTGTGGCCGTCCCATGGAGAAGTTCATCATGTACCGTTGCTGCACTGATTGAGCAAAAGAAGTTTGACAGTATCTTTTTCCTATCACGTTTGAAGCTAAGTCCAATTTCGATAATGGGTTTCTGACTTCCTGGTGTCTCAACGTATTCATTCTTCACTGCTAGTGTGTGGTTTGTACTATTTTACCGTTTCCCTTTGCAGAATTGGGTTATTGGTTCCTCAACAGTATTCATTATCCGTCATTCCGATTTTAATCAGAGTATACTTTGTTTATTATGGATTCTCCATTAACAATTTTCTCGGCTCCTAATCTGAATAGAGTTTCCAAAGCTGCAAACTTTACGTCGATCCCAGATCAAATAAACATCACAAAGCACATGAAAGCAAAGCATTTTCCCCTGTTTTGTCTGTTGCTTGGTAAAAGAAGCATGAATCGCTGAGCAATTTCACTTGAATATTCATTATCTATAATTCCGTTCTTCATCAGAGTATACTGTATTTGTTATACATCCTCCATTAACATCCCCTAATCTACATTGAGTTCCAAAGCTGCAAACTTTCCGTCAATCCCAGATCAAATAACATCACAAAGTACATGACAAAGCAGAACATTTACCCCTGTTTTGTTTGTTGCTTGGTAAAAGAACCATGAATCAATGAGCAATAACAAGATTAAAGCTGCAAATTTTGGTCAAATCCCAGATCCAGGAAAAAAATTCAAACCGGAAAGAGTTAAAAGACTGAAAGAGTGGAAGTGTACCAGGAGACAGGTAACGCAGAGCAGTAGAGATTTAGAGAAAATCAAAGCGCTGCGTTGTTTAATACTGGCATGAACAAGCATTCAATCTATGCTTCGGAAACTAGAACATCTCCATTTTAGAATTGGAGAGGTTCACCAAAAGAAGCAACCCAGAAAATAAAAACAAAACTTGCGAATGAACATTGCAAGGGAGATATCAGCAATCCAATGCAGTCTGCGCCCTGATTGAAAACAGAGGGGCGCAGATCGAATAATCGAGAATTGGGGATTGCAAGTAAATCTACGCTTCCGTTGACACGTTCCAACTTGGGATTTAGAATTGGCCAATCGAGGAACGCAACGCCTATAGAAGCGATTCAAACAGATGAAAAACACACAAAATCGGATCAACTTAATAAAACAGAAGATAGAGAAGAGTATATGAGCAAGAGATGAATTGACGATGCTGCTGCCGCTATTGTTATTAGGGTTTCGCGAGTAGAGGAATTTATAGCGGAAGAATCAAGTCTGGCGTGGGAGTTTGATAAGGAATGTGGAGGAAATTAGGGTAAATGAGAGATGACTGTTGAAGCCCAAGAAGATGGAATTCTACGAGCCCAGAAAGAGAAGTTATTGGGCCAGAGGTTACCAGTTCGGACTTCAGGAGGTTTCCAATGGAGCATGGAAAGGACCAATAGCTCTGGGCCGGGACCCCAGACTGGTGATGAAAAGTTTGAAAACACTATCCAAAACCAAAGGCTAAAGTCACTGGATTTATTCCATGTTTGTAAATATTGTTTGTTGGTATGTTGAATATTCTCATCTCCATGTCTATGACAAAAATGTCACTTGCGTACTATTCTTTTCAATATTTTATTTTTGTTCTGAACTATTATTCCGTTAATATTGACCGGCGTTGACTGTTAGTATTTAACAGAAAATCCAGTCAGCGTTGACGTGACTTCTGACGTGTTATTTTTAATAATTAAATAACAATTACAAAAACAAAAAGCAAAAAAAAAATCATAATCTCAATTCTCATCTACCCAATCCCCCTCCCGAGCTTGCTCTGCCCCTTCCTCTTACTTGACCAAATCCTCCACCACCACAACCCTCCCACTCCGCGGCGGTCGACCCTGCCCTCTCCTCACTCAACTTCAACCCTTACGATCGCATATATTTTCATCACAATGGCCATTCATATCTCTTGTTTGTCGCTGCTGGCGGTGATTCCAAATTCTGTTGCCGCTCCGTCGTTGTAAGATCTTCAACATCGCTGGTGAAACCCTCCTCCATCGTGTCGCCATCATCGGTGAAACCCATTACCCTGTTCAGAGCGGCGATGGAATTAAGAATGGGTGAACTGAAAGTTTTGTGGATCTGCTAAGTTTCTTGAAATTGGTCTCTCTGCGTTGTCATGACCGTGACTGCTAGAGACCACCTTGTTGCATCACCGTCGCCATTGCCACAACCCGTTCTATATCTGAACCAGAGCAAAAGATCGGAGTCGCCACGATCTACTTCTCGAGCCTCTTGCATCAGGAGGAAACGAAGGGTTAGAGTCGTCGTTCGTCATCCAGAATCCAAATCTACTACACATCCCAGCCCCAGCTTCGTTTATGATGATTGGAACATCTATTGGATTCGATTGATGTCGTAGATCGACAAAAAGGAACTCAATTTCCAAATTTTTGGTCATTCATTCTCCTTTCTGTCGCTTGCTTTGCTTATTGGATTCGATTCTATGCCGGAGATGTTGTCGGACTGGGGGATGGCGAGGGAAAGTCAAGAGAAGAAAGAGATGGCCGAGGAAGAAGAAGAAAGGGAAAGTGCAAAGTCAAAATTTTCATTAATGTTGAGTTTACATTTTTTAGTTTTTTAATATTATTTTTTATTTAATTTTGAATATAAAGTATGAGGTGTCAATGATGTGGCATCTATGTGGCTGTCACATTTTTTTGTCACGTCGACAAAAGTCAACTTTGCATTAACCACCGTTTGGTCAACCTTTATCTTTAACGGTCAACGAAATTGACAGGATACAAATGACACAAAGTATCATAGTTGAGGACATGAATGGAATATTTGATACAATATGACACAAGTGGCATTTTTTCGATAGTTCGGATGTTGTAGTGGTATTTGCCCAAAATTTAATTGAATAAATTATCATTTCATGTTTCATCATCATTCATTTCGTCAAATTCCGTTGACACCGTTACTTTTTTATGACATGTCAGACAGATGCTAAATTTGTCTATTAAATTGCTGAATCACTCGAATTAAACCCGAATCAAAATAAATTTGTCTCTTATAGTATAAAAAAGTAACTTTCAAACCAAACCAACCATTGACCTCCACCTTCCTTATGAGGCATTTAGTCATTTGAATAAGCACCTTCTTTTAGTCATGGAATATCCTCTCAATTTGTTCAATCGTAAGAGATTTTGTGTTTGAGATTGTGTTTCCCATGTTTTAATGGTTTAGTCAAGATGATATTATGGTAATAGCAAATTCGTGTTTAGTTATAAAGGTCATGGTAAATATATAAACTCGTCTTGGTGTAGTATACTGTGACAATTTGTACTTGCTAATCGTGAAAATTTTCACGAATAATTCCAAATTTTGAAGGAAGAATCTGTAAAAAAACATATTGTGACAAGATGTACCCTTTTAAGATGGTATTATCGTGCGAAATCAACTTCATGACCACATGTCAATCACTAGCCATTGACAATGTAGTTTTACCCACCATATTAATTAATATATATAAAGGGAAATTATACGTATGTTCACTAAGAACTATATTTTGGTTGGGCTTAAGCCCATCGGTTGGAGACGTGAATGTTGCTGATAATAATAAAAAAATGTTCGACGCTCTCCCCTCTCTCCTCCATCGTTGGAGGGAGATCGGGGATTTGGTGTTCGCTCTGATTATGGTGCTACTCGCTGCTTGTCTTAGGAATCAATGGCGGGGGGATGATTGGGGATCCAGATTTAAGGCTCTTCGTCAGTCCGAAACGGCGAGGTTCAAGAGAGGGGATGGTAAATCCGACCAGCCTCCGACGAACCGCCATGTTCGTAATCTGGTTCATCGTTCTGGTTTCAAGACCAGAAATACTTGCCAGGCCATATTAAGGTCGGGCAAACGAAAAAATGTAAGCTCGCCGCGGGAGGAAAGTGTTGTGTACCCTTTGAAATGCCAGCGCTCCTGCAAAAACTCCATTTGGAGAATCAAGCTTCCTTCGTCTACGGAGATGGAAGAAGAAAAGTTGGATTGGTCGCTTTGACCGGTTGTGCCTAGCGGTGCTAAAACTACTCCTTTGTTGTTTAAGATAATCAACAATTGCGATATGTAGTGCGCATGGGCTGGCTTGCCCATTTGTTCTACTAATCTCATGACTTTTGATCGAGATACCACTGGCGACCTAACGCCGGTCAAGCGAGAGGGGTGGGAAAGGACTGTTCAGCGTCCATTAATCCCGGAGTTGGTTCCCGTATTTTGGGGGATTTTCCTTCAAGCGATAATCATTCAGTTAATGCATGATTTGACTCATACTCCCACCAAAACTAAAAAAACCCTAAACCAACTCGGATCACGTTCTTAGGGGGTGCGGGCTCGACCTTATTTAAAACCCTCCATCAACGTTCTATTTCCTTTGTCTTCTACAAGCAGAGGAATTGTGCTGTGACAAGGAGGAAAGAGTTGTCCGTCGCTGCCGCCCCTAGAACGTATCCAAACTCAGGTATGGGCCCTCTATCACCCTTTTCCCCTCGGTTCAGTTCGCTTCACAGCTGTGTTTTACCTTCCCTGAGTACGCCAGCCATGCATGATACGTACCTGGACAGAGAAGCGGGTGATAAACTTGTTGTTATGCCAGACCCCGAAATGTCCATTGGGCATAGAACTGTCAAAATTGAACCCGACCCGACTAACCCGCCCAACCCACCCGACCCACAACCCGTCCGTAACCCGATTTAACAAAAAATCAACCACCAGAAGCCCGCCCGTAACCCGAAACCAATTGACCCATAATCCGATCAACCCATAACTCGATGAACTCGTTATCCGATCCAACCCATAACCCGACCCATATATAACCCGAATGATTCATAACCCAAATAACCCGTAACCGAACCAAACCCAACTCGAATAACCCGAATAATCCATTTGACCCGAATGCTTGTACAAAAATTCAATGTATACATTATTATATTTTTAAATTTACCAAGAAAGAACTGTTGTTCTCATAGTAATTGAAAATTATTTGTAGAATTGATGGTATAAATTGAGTTTTTTCTTAAATATTTAATTTTTTAAAAAATAATATGTGAAATATCTTATCATTCATTTTTTATTTTATGAAATTCAAAGGATAAATTTTTTAAGATAATAGGAAAAGTTAGACACAAATTCGTATCTCCACCATCCATAACTATATTAAAAAAATCAACCCATGAAAATCAATGAAATCCCCAAAATCAATGATCCCTATCAAGATATATAAGTAGATAGTTTACCCTTTTTACTTCATTC